AGAGAACATTTCAGTTTCAAACCATAAAAGGCAGAAAGAGAGACTGGTGAATGAAGGATATTCTAGCAATGAAATATTAAATCTTATTTCATTGGGAATACTTTTGGTTGTGTGTATGTATATGTACATGTTCACGTATATATATGTGTGTGTGTGTATACACGTCTGTGTGTATACATTTGTGTGTGTGCATGTGCTGGCCGGAGGTTCATATCGGGTGTCTTCCTCAATTGCTTTCCACCTTATTTTTTTGAGACAGGGTCTCTCACTGAATGTGGAGTTTGCTGACTCAGCTAGACTAGCTGCTATCTTCACTTGCTCAGAGCTAGGATTACAGCCATCATGCTTGGCTTTTGTGTTTGTATGTCCATGTAGGTGAGTGTATGTGTGTGTGTGTGTGTGTGTGTGTGTGTGTGTGTGTGTGTGTAATTGTGGTGCATTTGTGCATGATATATATATACATACATATATGTGTACACATACACATATAGTGTGTGTGTGTGTGTGTGTGTGTGTGTGTGTGTCTAGAGTCCTGCTCCGTCACTCTGCTTATTCCCTTGAAACAGGATCTTTCACTGAATCAGGAGCTGGGTTGGCAGCCAGAGAGCTCTGGCAATGCTCCTATGTGGACACCACCCTTCACAGAGCTGGGGTTATAAGAGTATGTGGTCACATCAGGCTTCTTGTGTGGGTGCTGGGGATTGGATACAGACACTCATGCTTTCATGGCAAGACATTTGCCTAGACCTTCCTGAGGATCTTAATATCATCATCCACCTGCCCTTATCAGAAGGAAACAGGCCACGGCAGAAAGATGTGAACCACCCAATGTCCAAGACCTCTTGGCTATTGGCTTGTTTTCACTTATAGAAGAATAGGCAGCGTGCTTTCAAGTGCGTAAGCCTTTGGTGGCTGTAGGGATGCATATGAGCATTCAGCTATGCAGGTATTTTTTTTAAAATTTATATTTAATTTTCCAAATAGAATAGTCTTTTCTCTAGATCCTGGAAAGCCGCCCTTACAGATAAACTAGATGGATGGTCATTGAAAGCCATGAGCCCCTCCACTCCACTCTAAGTCCTCCCAAATAAATCACAATTGTGAAGCTCGGTCTCCTGGGCTGCGAGGAATATTCATAAGCATTTGCTCCTATGCTAGCAATGTGTTGTACGAGATTTTAATTTTCATCCCTGAGAAGCACCACTCTGTATCTACAAACCTCCCAAGATTACCTGGTAGAGTAGAGCCATCTGCTTATGGCAGGCGGATGGCAAGATCAAAGGCAAGAGCTGATTGTTTATTATTACTTATTGTTTATTCCCAAAGGAAGTTTCCAGATGGCGAATCTGAGTATTTTGTTATTCAGCTAGCAAGTTTTCTTCCTTCTAGACAATTTGACTTTCTTGTACTTTCATTTATGCCTGTTTACTCGTATTCAGTTCACTGACTCAGGTGAACAGTAGAGCAGCCTGCCCCTTACAAAACCACTCTAGAAAACCCAATAATGACAGGCCTAACCACTCAGCCTTTTGCTTCAAGGTGCAAAACCCCTGGACTTTTTAAATGACCTCTGACATTTTTTCCCACTCTATACATTATTTTTAAAAGTGTAGGCCAGAATTGAACTCACTGTAATCTGATACATATATTCTTTACAAATAGTATTTAATACACATTTTTGGACACAGTGTGTCTCATAATGTAGCCCTGGCTGACCTAGAACTTGCTGTGTAGACCAGGCTGGCCTCCAACTTACTGATATCCAGCATGCAGTGCATGCCTGGATTAATATACATATTATTTTAAATTGTTAACATTTGTGAGACAGAGTTTCTCTGTGTAGCCCTGCTTGCCCTAGAACTTGCTCTGTAGACTAGGTTGGCCTCAAACTCAGAGGTCTGCCTGCCTCAGCCTCCTGAGTTTGGGATTAAGAACATGTGTCACTACTCCCGGCTTTAAAATGATTTTTATTTGATGTATATGGGCGTTCTGCCTGTTTGTAGGTGGCTTCACATTTATGTAGTATTTGTTGTGGAGGCCAAGAAAAGGTATCAAACGCTCTGAGACTGGATTTACAGCCAATTGTGAGCCACCACATGGATGGTGGAATCTGAATCCCCTGCAAGAACAGTGCATGCTCTTAGCCAAGAAGCCACCTCTCCAGCCCCTTATATTTATATTCTTGAAGTTAAAAATAGATCAAATTTATTTATTTTAAAAATGTTCTTCTTAAGTCCTTGGTGTGGTACAGAAATCATATTAACTATATTTCAAATCCTGCTACCAAAACATTAAAATTCTTAAAATGTATACTTTAAGAATTAAGGGCGTTTCGCAGCAAAATGTATCATGAACTAGTGAAAATTCATTATGTGCCAGCAGCTGAGGATAGTCCTGCTCCTAAAACAGTAAGGCCCATCTTTGAAGAAAGGTCATATCTCAACCCTAGACATCAAATTGCCCCTGGCACTAGGTCATAGGTCATTGTCCATGCCTGTACCAGGCTCACACCGCACTGTTCCCCCCCCCCCCCGTTTCCCTCCTTGCATGGCTACTTTTCAGCTTGTGGTCTGCAGCACTCTCTAGCTCTCTTCTGATGTGCTGATTTCTTCATTCCCCTCTTCCCCGCCTCTCAACCTTCTGACATTTATGTGTTATTGCATGCCTTCCTATATTCACACAACTCCATCTGTGGAGACTTCGGATATTCTCAATAACAAAATATTTTTTAAAATTATATTTCTATGACTTAGAATATTTCTTACTGCCCCCCCACCCCCAGTTAACATTCATCTGGGTATTTGACAAAGTTCTTTTTAATATAGAGATCTAAAACGGAGGTTCTCAAACTGTGGGTCACGACCCCTCTGACAAACCTGTATTTCTAATTTTGCTACTGTTACGAATCGTAACAGCATGAAGTAGCAATGAAATAATTTTATGGTTTGGGGGTCACTACAAGGTGAGAAACTGTATTAAAGGGTGGCAGCATTAGGAAGGTGAAGAAGAACCACTGTTCTGTAACTAGTATCTTGAAAAAAAGTCTGTTCCGGTAATACTCTCAATAGGCACAATATTTGGAACAGATGTAAGGAACTAGCAGTTATTATTAAGAAATTGGTGCTGCTGCCTGCTACCCAAAGTACAGTGTGGTTTTAAAATCTAAAAGTTGTTTCTCTCCCAGAGTATACTGTCACACTAAAAATTCTATCTCTTCTTGTGCTCGTGACTGGCTGTTGCACGCTGTGTGAGGTGGGAGGGAGTGTGAGGCCGCTGAATTAGCACTGTAATACACATCTTTTACTTGTAGGATGTGTCAACATCGCTTTGCGATTACCACTTGGTGGTTCACGTGATGTGTTTATTTTATAGTTTCACATGTTTACAATTGTCATTATTCAATTGCTTAAATGAGGCCTCAGTGAAGTTACATTTTAAACATTTTCATAAAAAAATTGTATACAAATATGATTGAATCGTTCAACCACATTTCCCTTCTCCTACCCCTTCCCCTTAAGTATGTATATAAAATACACAGATATAAAATATGAAGCGATTTTACTAAGAGCTCTTAATGGTGCAACTACACCTAGCTTAAAAGTATATTCCAACAAGCAAAGTGAGTTCTAAGGTAGAAATATTTGTTAAGCTCCAGGCAATCAAGCTCAAAAATCCCGAATTATGGGAAGTAGCATGATGATTAAAAGGAGAGCCCGTAGGTGAAGGACGTGAAAGGAAAGACCACCTAAACTTCTGGTTTGCTTTAGAAAGGACAGGCAAAGCTGCACATTCCTTAGAAAAGGAGGCTGAAGGGCTGAAGGTGAGGAGAGCCTTTGAAATAATTGAGGCTGAATTACATAGCCGAGTCCCAAGGAGCAAGAGGGAGCGGCACATACCAGCTCCTGGGTCAGGGTGACACTGGCTGAACTCAGAAAAGATAGCTCGTGTGGGTTGTGCAACAGGTCTTACCATGGTTCAAAACAGTCAGGACTCAGGGACAGTGTCTCCTGCTCTTGTAGGATAAGCTGCTTCAAGTGGTTAAATGAGTAGCTAGAAAGGTTGGAGAAAGGAATCTATTTAAGCTGAGCTACTCGTATCTGGGTAATATGGCTCTTTATCTGATAGACATCACTCCTGCCTGGTCACTGGAGCACAAGGATGAGAGCTCCTCCTGGAAGGATTTAGGGGATCTGCCCCTGGCAAAATGCTCCCCAATGCGAGATCCACAATCACAGGACAGAACACTCTCTGGTCTACTTGGTACCTAGCCAGTATGTGAGTAAAGCTTGCTAGAAAACAGACTTGACCCAGCAAGTCTTCACGGCAGCATTCTGTATTAAGCATCCTAGAATAAAGTTTCAAAACCTCCTCCTGTTTTCCTGATGTAGAAAAATGGTTTTTATACAGTGTAGGACTAAGGTGTATAACAATAAAATAACGAGATATGTGTAACCATGATACAGGCCTGGGGTTCCTCAAGCCTGGGCAACTATATTAAAGGACTTATGTTTCAGTTTATTGATCTGCTAGTTTTACTAATTTACATTTGATTTTTCAATAATAGGATTTATTGGAATTCTGTGGTATTAAATGATACTCAGAACTTAGCTGGCACTGAGTTGATGAGGTGAGGTGTGATCACCAGTGAATTGACATAAACCTACATTTCATTTCAAGGAGAAGCAAAAATTAGAAAATGCCTCTCACTAAATAGGCAAGAACATATCCTATAAACATTGCAGCGATTTAGTAAATGGCACGATGGGTTCTTTAGAAAATAAACCCCTTCTATATAATCACCCTTCTACCCACAATTTTGTGCATTGAATGCAGACCAGGGATGCAGAGAGCAAATAGCCCTGAGCAGATTTGCAATCTTCTGTGGGGATGCTCTGTCCAAACTGAAGAAGAAAAGGGTTGCCTTAAAATGATTCCATTACAGAATCCTGTCACAGTAGGACTTCTACACAACTTAGAAAAATCGTTATGTAGCTTCTTAAGCTGAAGTGCATACACATGTCCTGGAATACCCTTAACATCATTATGTTATTCTGTTAAAGACACCTGGCATGCAAAAGTTCAATGTCATCTCAAAAATACATGTAGTAAGCCCAGTAAAATACATTGGCTAACATAAAGATCAAAGGGAATAGTAGTTTCGAGTATCGATCCACATTGCTGGGATTTTGAATTGTGAAATAATCAACAATTCTACCGATCTTTTCTCGGAAGACAAACTTGAACTTGTCGCTGGCTTTCATTGTCAAGTCGCTATAGTTGACATTGTCACTGGATAGTTCAATGCTGGCAAAGCTGATCTTTCGTTTAAAGCTGGAGATGGAGCTGTTGATGATGTTAGTGATCTTGACGTCTTCTGATTCCTTCACCGTCCCCTGGTTCATAGACAATAGTTAGCTCGGAAGACAGGACACAATGTACACAGATGATATTATGAAGAACAGTGTGCTGTCAAGGCAGCAGACCTGGGCTTAAACTTTAGTCTGTTAACTACTGGAAACTTCAGTTACCTTGTCTGCCACATACTAATGACATGAATTGTTCTTTCATGAGACTAGGGGGTAAGATTAGTGGTATAAATTTTGTAAAGGACCTAGGAGGTATTTGGTAAAGTTCTAGTCTGTTCCAGAGAGAAGAGATTATGAGAGATAATATAATGTGGTCTTTGCTACACATATGGAAATAGTGGTGCTCCCTGAAAACCTGAGAAATTTCCACTATCCAACAAGGTGCTGATGATACAGAATGTAGGGTCTTGGCCGAGTTGCTTCACAACTTTGAGGGAAATTTTCTCAATAATAAAATAAGGAAAATGATGATTTCATTTCACTGAGTTTTGGGATACTCAGAGAGATGTAAACAAAACAAAACAAAACAGCATATACTCCACAGAGCATCTACTGTTATATGCATGGGCATGGGGGCATGGGGGTACACACTAGCAGGAGATCTCAGGAATTCTCCAACCCTCATTTGTCAATCTTGTTAAGTCTAGATTCATGTGTGTTGTTATTTAGGGAAGCCTATATGGAAGAAAACACATAAAATGCATATTCTCCTCTGGCTGGAACGTTCGGTGTTTGCGCATTGGTCACAACAACCAAACACAATGACAAAGTCACTGGATCTTCTGGGTTGCCCGTATCCTCACTGTTAGTCCCTCTTGGTCCCAGGACACTGCTTAGGGTGGCACTTTTCTGAACCAGATCCCTATCATTTTTGTTTATCTGTTAGTATGAACTTCAGTGTGCCAATGTCTATCAAACTCAGTTTCCAAATGACCTCAAGGTCTAGTGGGGCTGTAGAGAGTAATCGTTAATGGGAGAGCCTGTTGCGTATTGTGTGAAGGGAAAACAACCCATTATACTGGAGCAAGGGAGTCTTAGGTGAGACTCCCAACTCTACCTTTTAGTTGCCTTGTCTCTGGGATTTTTGTTTACAAGTTAATTTCTTCCATACATCTTCTTCTTCTTCTTTTTTTTTTTTTATAAACTGCTACGTGTATAATTTAAGAACATAAAATTGCATCAAAAGGATTAAGTAGAACTATAGATTAATCTGAAGTGTGTGTGAGCATGTAAGCATGTCCAGTGTGATAATGGGCTTTTCCTCAGATGCTCACTCTTAAGCTTTCCTGTTGCATATAAATAATAGTTTTCTGCAGGGAGCCAAAGCTATCTACGGAAGCCAAAGCCAAAGCTATCTAGTGAAGACTAAGCTATCTACTGAAGCCTAAGTCAATTAGTGAGTCAAAGCTATCTAGTGGAGACAAAAGGTGTTTACTAGGCCAAAGCCAAATAGTGAGCAAAGGTCATTTAGTGGAGACCTAAAGCTATTTAGTGAAAGTTATCTAGGACCCCAACTCATGGGTGAGGACATCCATTTGTTAGAGCATCCGTGAGAAAACATCCCTAAGTTATCTTGCAGGCACCCTATTTAACACATGAAAGCACTCTTCCTGTCTCCTGCAGCAGCTAATTACCTTCCCCCTTTCCTGCCTTCTCCCTATATAAGTTGGGTAAAAATTTCTAATAAATGAAGCCTTGATCAGACAAACAGACTTGGCTTTCTTCCTTGCGCTTCTTGTCCCTCCCCCAATTCCTTCCACTCTCCTCCCTTAGGATCCACGTTCAAGCCCCGCTGGTCGGGGCCATATCTGGCGCCCAACGTGACTTGAAGGTACGGAGATCTGGATTGAACGTCGTTCTTCAAAGTGGCCACTAAAATACACAAGGATTCAGCGTTTCCACCGAGAAGTAAAACTACATGAGATTTCCACAGAGCCGCCCATCTGTGAGCTTGATCTGAGAGGTAAGTCAGAACGACGAGTCATGGGACAAGATTTGAGTAAACAAGATTTATTCTTACAGGGACTGAAGGAGTCCCTCAAGGCGCAAGGAGTAAGGGTAAACAAAAGGGAATCTCAAAAGCTAAAAAGTTACTTGTAAAATTAGAGCAGTCAAAAAGAGAGAGAGAGAGAGAGAGAGAGAGAGAGGTACTTCTAAGGTTATTTCAAGTGTTCATAAAGGAGCTCAAACAGATTTCTGTAATTTGAGAGCAGAAAATTATTTAGGAGCTAGATAGTGAGGATAAAACAGAGTCAGGGGAAGAAACTGCTAAGTCCCATAGCCTGTTTCCCTGCGCTGCTTCCCTTCTGCCCAAAACAAAGAAAAAAAGGCCCCCAAGTGGGCCGGGGCAGAAGGTGCCGAGCAGAGCCTTAGCGAGGTGAGCAGGAGGAACGGAACACTACTTGTCTCCTTCCCACTCCTCTATTGCGGGCTAGGCTTGGATGGCTTGCGGAGAAATGGGTGGATGAGAACTCTCGCTTGCTCACCCAAACCCTCAAAATTGGCCTAAGACCTGCCTCTGCTAGCTGCAGAGGTGAGCAGGACTGCTCAGCCGAGGGGCAGTTTACCCCGCCCCTTCCCACAGGCTTCAGCCAGTGTCAGCTTCAGCCAGACCTAGGACAGAAACCAGAGGGATGGAGCCACTTCTAGTTTTAAAGATTAAATTGTGTTCACTGATAAATTCTGAGTTTTTCTAGTTCTGACTTTTAAAATCATGGTTATGCTCTGTATATATATTTAAATGTTTAAAAAGCAGGTACTGCGGTTGATTTTTGTCTTTGTCTCTGTGTTTTGTGTTTGTGTGCCGGCTGTCTGTTTTGGTCTCTGTTTTTAAAAAACTTGGAGAGTTTCCAATCTGATCAAGGAAATTTGGGTGACACCCCAGTTCCCGGAAAAAGAGCCCTAAATTGCTCCCCTAATCTGGGACCCTATTCTGTGTAGAAAGAAGGCTGCTAGAGCCTGCTCTCCATCTGGGAGCTGTGGAGAGGAATCATGAGGAAGTCCACTCCTTCCAGGCCAGTCAAATCCTGGTATCTGGGTATTCTGGTTACTCCAAGGGGACAATTTCAGATTTCTGTGTTCCTTAGCTGTGTCTCTATATGTGTATATGTTTATCTCTGGAATTCAATTGATGATATTTTAAAATCTGACTGATGATATTAATATTTTTGGATATGAGACAATTTAAATCAACACCTTTAAGTTTGGTCTTGGACCATCAGAGTTAAATTCTATAAAACATTTTAAAATTTATCAGATATTTTAAAATAATAACCCTTGGAGAGTCTAACAAAAAACTTAAAAACAGTTTCTCAACCCTTTGGGGGAGGTCAAAATTATGCCTGGCTGACATTACCTAAATAAATGATTTAATGCTGTTTCTTTCTGTCCTATTGATCTGGTATGGCCAGAATAGTCCATTTTTGCTAAAGGCTGCAGGCTAAGTTTAGTTCTCTGTTTAATGCTAAATAAAACTTTTGTCCTTTAATTTTTTGCTGTTAAGTTTTAATAAAATATTATAGGATTAATAAGATTTGCTAGCCCCTTTACAAATTATGTTTAATTAAAAGTTTTGCTTTGATTTTACTTTAAAAAGAGCAGATTTAAAGTTATGCTAAAGATTATAGTTGAGTACAAGATTGAGTTTTACCTAGTCCTTTTGTTTAGGTTGTTTTTTTCTTTAAGGTTAAATTTAAAATGGATAACCATAAAGTTTGTCTATGTAGATCTACCTAAAATTTGGTTCTAAAACATACATTAAAATATATATATATATGCTAAAATTAGAGATTATAACATCCTGTTTTATAGGATGCAGTTTAGAGCAGATAATAAAGGTAGACAGAGAGTAACTCAAATATGCTGGCTCTCAGACTTGTAAAAGATCTAATAAATATGGCATTTTAACATATGTAAGCTTATTATAACAGAGTCACAAACAGAGAGCTGGTGATGGCTCAGAGGTTAAGAGCACTGGCTCTTCTTTCTCAGATCCTGAGTTCAATCCCCAGCAACCACATGGTGGCTCAGAACCATCTATAGTGAGATTTGGTGTTGCTGCCTGTGCTTATAATGAAAAACAATGTCTTTTCAAGTGTCTAGCACATCTGCACAAATAGCAGAGTTATCTACAGTATTGGCTGAGTTTCAAAGTTTTAATAAATAGTCTTTAAACATTTTTTTTTTTTTTTTTACAGATAGTGCATATGTAGCTCTGTCTTTTCCTAGGTTAGAGACTGCAGGTCAAATCCAGATATTTTCTCCTGCTGGAATTTTATTTTTACACATTCAAAACTTGATACAAAAAAGAAACTTTTCCTTTTTGTATATGACATTTGAGGGCTCATTTTAATTTGCCAGGTCCCCTGTCTAAAAGGAAATGCATTGGCAGATAAAGCCACCAAAGTTTATTGTTTACAGTTAAAGAGCCCAAGATGCCCATAACATGCATCATTTTAATAGTCAAACCTTGAGACTTAAATATGGGTTGACTAAGAAACAGGCATGTAGTATAGTCAAGGCTTGCAGTACTTGTCCTCAATTTCAGCCTGTTTCTCATTTGGGAGTCAGTCCTAAAGGATTGGTTCCAAATCAGATTTGGCAAAAGGACATTACTCATAATTCCTAAATTTAAAAAATTAAAATAGGTACATGTTTGCATTGATACCTATTCTTGATTTATTTTTGCCACTCCTCAACCAGGAGAAACTGCAAAAAAATTGTTATTGCTCATTGTCTACAGGCTTTTAATGTTCTACAAGTTCCTAAGCAATTTAAAACTGACAATGGAGCAGGATATACTAACAAATCTTTTAAAAAGATTTGTCAACACTTTCAGGTTTCTCACATAACTGAAATACCTTGCAATTCTCAAGGACAAGGCATGCTAGAGTGTGCCTACTGAACAATTAAGATTTACTTGCAAAAAACAAAGAAGGGGGAGCCACTCCCTTGGATACCTAAGTTTTCTAAAAAATTTGGATAAGCATGGTAAATCTGCAACAGATAGATTTTGGCATACAAAAGCCAAAAAACTTTTGCTAAAGTAAAATGGAGAAATCCTTTAACAAATCAATGGCATAGACCCGACCCTGTACTCATATGGGGACGAGGAGCTGTCTGTGTTTCTTTCACAGGAAAAGGATGCAGCTTGATGGCTACTGGGATGCCCGGTGCAACAAGTGGATGAGGAGTTTACTCCTGACTATGATAATGATGTCAAAGAAGACCCCTCCAGTCAAGATGACTGCTTATGTGCTGCCCTTAAGGAAGAGTGCTGCTTTTACACAGATTATACTGGGATTGTAAGGGACAGCATGACTAGGATAGAGGAGGCTTAGAAGAGAGAAAGAGACAGAGAGAACAAGAGGAAAGTTGGTTTCATAATTGGTTTTCAACCTCTCCCTGGCTCACCACCCTCCTTCCTTCAATCTTGGAACCCTTGGTGGGTTTCCTTCTCCTCGTATCTTTTGGCTCATGGGCCATTAAAAGACTCACTGGCTTTGTAAAACAGCAAATTGACTTCCTGGCATCTAAACCCATACAAGTTCATTATCACAGACTTGATTTGGCTGACAGAGGCTTAGCTGAGCCGGAGGAAGACTGCTGACAGTCTATCACATAGGTCTTGACTGCTTATGTTTGGCTCTCATGAGAACAGCATGAAACTCAGATAAATGCTTTTCTGGGTACCTGTAATGGGGTGCAAGATGACATTGCAAGGGGAGGGCCCAATTGCCCGCTTCTGAGTCCCCTGAGGAGCAAACCTGATTGCATAGAGGTTGGTGTCTGATTACCCCTAACCACAACCTGCTGGGGATGCCCTCAGGTGTTGATGGGGTCTTCCTCTCCTCCCCAAAAAGGCACCCAAAAAGGCTGCAAAAGCCTTGGGAGGATCACATCACTACTTCCCCCCTCTGGTTAATGCCCACCTTCTGCAAAAGACCTCATGTTCAAAACCTACCTGCTAGCCTCTTAAATTGTTTTAGAAGGGAGGAGATGCCGGGAGCCAAAGATATCTATGGAAGCCTTGATCAGACAAACAGACTTGGCTTTCTTCCTTGTGCTTCTTGTCCCTCCCACCCCCAATTCCTTCCACTCTCCTCCCTTAGGATCCACGTTCAAGCCCCGCTGGTCGGGGCCAGTTTTCTTCCAGAGAATTAAAGTTTGATATCCTATTTTCTTCAGTGAAAAGAACAACCTTGGCCAAGGGACACCATGACTTCCAAAGTGCCTACCTTGGTGGGAAGAAGATTTATTAGAACAAAGTAAATTACTCTGGGGATGGGAACCAAACCCTGGTGAGCTCTCTGGAGCACGTCCATCCAAGTGATGGCTCAGAGGCAACGCCCTCGAAATCCTTACCCTATCTTTGACCGCCATCTGCTGTAAGGAGCTGTAGTGAGCAACTGCGTACTCCAGCAAGGCCCCAAACACGAAACTGAAGCAGATCCCCAGGTACACATCGATGGCCTTTATGAAGCAGTTGGTGTTGGGTAGGGATGTGCGGGAGCCGATCATCAGCGTGGTCATGGATAACACTGTTGTCACCCCTGGGAAGATAAGCAGAAACTGTTCCATGCTGGGGTCCCATTAACCACCCTGCCTGCCAGCCATCATCTGGCTGCTTCACTACACCCAGGAGCCAGCAAGATGAGGGCAGGACTCAGGAACAGTACAGATCTCATTTTAAAGAGTCTGTGACCTTCTGGAATAGGGATGATTTTATTCATCTTGAACAGATATAACTGACACAGTTTTCTCAATATGTCATCCTCTGTCTCCTCTTAGAGATGAATGGCCAGTGCGTAAAGTAACTGACAGTGGGCTGTTTAATCACAAGGTGACCTCTTCTGTCACTACAAAACATATTTTAAAAGAAAATCCTTCTGACGTTATCCTTCTATTTCTGGATCCATTTCTCAAGAAATCTGTCAACTCTTTTAGTGGTCCCACAACCATCAATGAAAACAATGATAGAATTCTTAAAAGCGTCCGATGCTCCCAGTTCTTAGAAGCTGCCTGCGGGAGCTGCTTACCGATGCATGTTCTTGCAGGAACGGAATCAAGAGAGATCCAAAACGAAACCCAGGACAACACCACCAGGAACGTGGAAGGAACGTAGGTTTCCAGAATGAAATACAAGACGTTCCTCCGGAGCTCAAACTGCAGAACCAGTCGCGTATAGTTCCCTGCGAGCGCAAACGGGAGAAAAGAAGTTGTGTTTGTCCATACAGAAGAATATTTGCTCTGTGAGGCGCTTAACCAAACCTCACACACATTGTCTTCCATGACCGCGATCTAGCCAGCTGTGAACTGCCACTCCGCTTTCCACACCGGTGTCAACGCTGTGTGGCGTGGGACTGACAGGGCTGCTGCTCACTAACCTCCACACTCATCTGCTTCCTCATATGCTTTCCTTTATCACAGAATCCCTTCAGCATCGCAGCATCGCGAGAGCTGATTTTCTCAACAGCTAGATCGCTAGACTGTGAACCCCAACGGAGCAAACTCCCTGTCTCTCGGTGGTGCGCTCACAAGGTGAGTTGTTAATGAATACCTGTTTAATAAAGATTACTTAAGACAGCCCAGTGCTTTTAAGACTACTGTAGAATGGGACTATTAAATATAATTTAATTTTTGTGTATGCGCATGTGTGTTCGTGTGTTTGTGTGAGCAAACAGGGCAATCTTGGGTCAGATCTCTTACTGGAGATCTCTTACTTGGCCCAGAACTTGCCAAGTAGGCCAGATATCTGGCCAGTGAGCCTCAGAGTCTCATCATCTTTGCCTCTCTGGCGCTGGAATTACAAGCAGTGTGTATGCCCAGTTCCTGTCCCCTTCCCCCACAGAGGGTTCTGGGGACTGAACCCAAGTCCTTATGCTTGCAAGGAAAGCATTTTACTGATTGAGTGATCCACCCAGCCCCTATAATTTAATTTTTGTTAATTTCAGAGGTATCACTCCAGGATCATACTAATGAAATTACCAATGCACACGTGCTACAGGCAGGCAAGATAAACAACAGAGAGCTGTATCCTTCCTTCCCTTCTTTTTTGTTTTCCTTCCCTTCTTTTTATCTAGGCACAGTTTCTTTTATTTTGGCACACATTTGATTTTTTTTTAGGTCATCTAGACTCAACTAAAGTACACGGTAAGGTTTTAAAGAATATAAATATTGTTGCAACGAAGCATTTCTAACTCGACCAGGAGGAAGTGAGAAGAAAATGCCAACTGTTTGTATGTGAAATCATCCCATTTAGAAAATACCCATTGAAAATCACCAACTCCCACAGATTCAGCCCTGAACATGATGAAGCAATGATTTCAGTAATGAGGTGATCATGCGGTCTCACTACTTTCTTCTTCCCCCGGGTGTTCCTTCTTAACTTCATCCTTCAGTGACCAGTGTACACATTAGAAACATGAGTGACCGTTATGCATATGACCTGCTGCGTTTGAGCAGTTGGAACATCCCGGAAGGCAATCAGCTAAGCTTCAGTGCTGGCCCAGAGACCATGTCAACCCCGAGGGAGGAGTGCACAGAAACCTAGGTCCCATGGCAATCTCCTTTCCCTACTCCACACCACTAAAGAATGCCTGCACTCCACAGCAGAGGTGGAGAAGCTACTTATGATTCAGGGCGCAACCCTTTCTTTAAGTACTTTTACTTTATGTGCACCAGTGTTTTGCCTGCGCGTTTGTCTGTGTGCAGGTGTCAGGCCTCCTGGAACAGGAGTTACAGACAGTTGTGAGCTGCAATGTAGAGACTGGGAATTGAACCAAGGTCCTCTGGAAGAGCAGTCAGCACTCTGAACCAACGAGCCATCTCTCCAGCCTCTTCTTTAAGAATGTTTATTCTGGGTGATGGGAATTACCTGTTTCCTGGTGGGATACGGTGACCAAGGTGAAATACTGTTGGATGGTATACTGAGCAAGGCGCAGGTTTTCAAGTCCACGCACGGAATCATTCCCTCTCAGCCAGGAGTACTCCACGTCATTGCCATCGTACCCCCCTGGCAAGCAAGAGTGAGCCGGGTCAGTGCATGGATGCTACAGACTTAGACGGTTTGGGAAATGCTTCAGTGTAGCAAAGAGCTCTATCCTGGTGGCATTACGTCTAAAGGAATACACCAAGTAAAAGTTGGCAATGTTTCTCAAGCGCTGCAGAATGAAATTCTTTGCTAGGATCATTTTTTCATTGGTTCAGAAGTAGTTCTGTGCTAAGCATTGTCCAAGCCTGGTGGATGATAAGAATGGCTTCCTTCACCACTGAGTGACACTTATAAAGCATAGTATCACAAAGAGACCCATGTTAGATGCTGCCTTTCAGAGCAGTCTGAGCTTCAGTAATGTTGTCTGGGACTTTGGAAGTGGTCTAGTAATAGTTCCCATTTGCATGAATGCAAAACCGAAAACCCATGTAATCAGCTGCTTTATGAATATCTGTCAACATGTGCTTTTGATAAATGTTAGCTACTATCAGTTGATGGCACTGATAACAGTTACCTTTTATGAGCCATTCATGTTGTCTCTTACTCACCACACAACACGTATCTAATGCTTTCACAATCCTGTGAAGGTAGACATTTCTGTGTTTCTTCAGTTTTGAGATGGACTTTTGTTTTTGCATATCTAAAATTGTGATGGATCTTATCATCAATTAATGTGTGTGAAGAAGAGCTTGCATTTTCTTCTAAAATATTTCTTATGAAATACTGTACCTTAGACTTGAGGAGTCATTTGCTCATGTGAAAACTCTCGGGTTTTAAGACGTCTTTTTACTTTCTCAAGATATAGACAAATAAGAGAAAAAAAAAAAAGCCAGCATGGTGTCCTGCTCAGAAAAGCTTAATCTCAAAACCCATGGATGATGGTGATCGTAACTGTAGTATCTATTACTTAGTAAGCAATTTTTAACTCCCTTGCAACATTATCATCTTCTACAATCCTTGTTGAGCAGATGTGTGTATCATTAATAAGCACAAAAAAAGAGCTTCAATGTCATCAGTCACTAGGAAAATGCAAAGCAAAACCACAGACTACTTCACAGTTGTTAAGACGGCAATAATAAAGAAGAGATGAGAAAAATGATGAAGATACTGACAGGCTGGAACTTCATGGGTAGGACTGTAAGCTATACAGCCACTTTTGGAAAACAAAGTGACTACCAAAAAAACCCTAAATAATAAGTGATAATAATAATGATGATGAGAGTAATAATTATTTTAATCAGAACTCTATTCCAAGGTATGTACTTAAGAGGAATGAAGTGCCAGTCACAGAAAGACTTGTATAGAAATGTTCACAGCAGCATTATTTACAATGGCTAGATGTAAGAATAACCCAGAAGTCCATCCACTGAAAAGCTGGAAAGAAACAGTACTGAACAATCAGAAGGAATGGAGTACTGTGTTCTGTGGAAAATGCCAGATGCAAAAGGGAACATATCATATTGACCTTACTTTATATGAAATGTTCAGGAGGGACAAATTCATAACAGCAAAATGTAAGTTAGTGGTACCTGAAGTTGGTGGTGGGAAATTGGAATGATTGCAATAAGCACCAGGGATCTTCTTGGGGGTCATGAGAATGCTCTAACAATGCAAGCTAGCAATGGCTACACAACCTGGTAAGTTTACTGAAAACTTTGAATTGCTCGTAAGTTAAAAACGGGCGAATTTAGTTGGTTGTTGTTGGTGTGTAGGAGGTTGGTCTGATGCTTGTATTTTGATGCTAATTACTGGCCTTCAAGATCTGGCTACTGCCCAGATACACCTATCCTTGTTGTGTAAACCTGCCTACGACATTATACCTGATTGGTTGGTTAAAAGGCCTAAAACATGGGCAGAGCAGAACAGGGTAGGTGTGACTAAGGTTCCTGGGTTTTGGGAAGAGGAGAACCATGGGAAACAGACAGATGGATCGAATAGAAACCACCCGGGCCTGGAGGAAGGACTCCAATAGTGACATGGAAAGGCCCAGATGAAAAATAAAAGCAAGTATTTATAAGATTATGGATGGAAGGTAGCCCAGATGAGGATGGTTAAGGAGGATGGCATTGGATGGGGCCTGGGAGGTGGAAGATGAGGTTACTGAGACAGCGTAGGTAAAATATCTGCCCAGCCCAAGGTAAATAAGGCAATTATAAAAGTTAACAGGCATGTCTTATTAATTGTGATAGCAGGTAAAATAATATATCCACAATAATTATAGAAATAATAATAAACAGTATTTAGCCCAACACCCATTTTATTTACAACAACTGTGGTGCACAGCTTTAATCCTAGCACTCAAGAGGCAGAGGCAGGCTGATCTCTGAGTCTGAGGCCAGCCTCGTCTATAGAATGTGTTCCAGGACAGCCAAGGATACACAGAGAAAACTGTCTCAGGAAAAAAAAAATGAATTTAATGGTGCATAAATTAGAGACCAATAAACCTGATTAATAGAAGGCAATTCATTGAGCCAGGTACCATTAATTTTTCCATGTCAATGAGTAGAAAGCAGAGATTCAGAGAGGGTCATTAGCCAAAGCCATACAGCTGGTGACATAGCCCACGGGTCCAGTACCTGCAGTGGCAAACACAGACGTCTCCTGCCATTGCTTCAAAGCTTACTGAGACTATGGTCCTGCTGTTGGGGTCCATACTGCGCTAAGAAGCGGCGTTATGGAGCCAATATCCAGTAGACTTTATCCTATGATGCCTGAACTCCTTGAGGACCTCCAGGTAAAGTCGTGTGTTTTCCTTCGGGGTCATCCAAAACTGAATGAAAACTAGCCACTGAAATTAGGTTGGAATCCTGAAGGATTGAAGACGTTTCTATAAAACAAGGAGCGCAAGTTTCTACTGGGGTACTTGGCTTCACCCTTAGAATAGTCATAGTTTTTAGTTATTACCAATTCTTGGCCCTGAGTGAATATGGTGGATTAAGATGATGTCAATTCATTTTTAGTGGAGATATATATGTGATTTTTTAAAAAATACCTAAATGCCTGCTAAAAGCATTCTGTGTTAGCTCCCTCTGTTCCTTGGGGATGGTGTCTGTGCACGTAGAGTGCTGAAGTTTGCTGGCAAACCTTGCTCCTGGGATTTGGGATGAGCCCGGCCATGACACATGGAGGGCAATTATTTCTATTGTGCTGCATGGGGATGACTCCTCTTTTTGACAACCTCAATTGCATTTTGCCACCAAACAGCTGCATTGCTTCAAGAAGGGTTTGCATGTACTGACTCAACAGGGTAATTAATCTGCCGAAGTCTTTAATTAAATGTGTACTTCTGAAAAATGGCTTTTTCTCAAAATGGCTCTTCTCTCCTGGAGTTGCCCACTTGTGCCCTTATGTGTAGAGTACCCGGTGGTCCCCAAGGCTTGCCTGTAGTTATTTTCCACTTTGATGCCTTAATGAGTCATACCGGTGCCATTATTTCCCTAACACAGGTGCCCAAACCTGGTGGATATTCAGAGAAGCTTACGAAGGAACAATGGAGATTGTTTAACAATCCCAAGGAATTGATTTGACCTACATCTATTTGGAGTGAACCCTCATTTTCCATTCTAAGAAATTCCCAGGTTATAATTTAGGTGCTCATTAACTCACAGCACTTTATGAAGCTTTACATATACCAAATAAGTTCTCTTAAGTGTTGGAGGCAGCTGCCTTATACACATCAGTGACTGTTTTCAGTATTTGGTTTTTCTGCCTCAGTGCTGCGGCCTGAGCCAGGGCCTTTCCTATGCTAGACAGATACTCCACCCCCACCCCAGGCTCTGACTCTGTTTGTTTCTTGCTAACCTTTGCTCTATTCCTTCTTGTTCCTGTGGTACTGTGCCATGCTTTTTGCCCTCTCAGCCAGCTGGAACTGATCCCTTCTCTGATTTCAGGTAGCAATTCCCAATTCCCTCTGGGCCTCTCTGACCCTTACCAGGCTTCCACGGTGCCATTACGTCTTACTGTTGTCATTCATTCTTTCAGGATTATTTTAAGTCCTGTGGTCTCTGTCATGTGGGACACTTCTTGAAGGCTGGCAAATCATTTTGTCTTTTGTATCTCAAACCTTCACCACAGTGTTTAACACAAACAGGCATGTAGTTGTTGAATGGATGGACTAACTGAGGGCAGGCAGACGGAACTCAATCAGCCATCTAGACTAGCTGGAGACGTTAGTGGGAAAATATGTAGAACTGAAGTATTAGACTGAGTCAAAATATTTTCCTTACGATACAGAGGAAAGGAAAAACACTGGCCTTGGTCCTAAGGAACCAAAAGGAACTGGCATGGAAAAAACTTGGAACTGCTGTCTGATAGTCACATTGTATTTCAGCTTCATATTTGGCAGGATTTGAGAATCCCAAACAAGTGTCACATGGCCCCTCAGTCTGGAGGAAAAATGATAATTTTCAATGGGTACTAGAGAACCTAGAAATCTCATACAATTGCTTAAGACCACATTATGGTGTATCTGGGAAAACTGTATATCTCAGATCACAAAGAGATCACTGGAACAAAATCCTCATGGGCTTTGCTGGTCTGTTAGAAGAAACCTGGGAACTGTCTGTCCGTCCAGCTGGGCTTACTCCCCAGTGTTTCTGATTCCCAGGTCTCTTTAGAAAATGCAAAATTGTAATGGGCCTCAATTTCTATGGTCAAAAGGTGGGAAAAACAACACTTACAGGTTTGTTTGGAAGTTATCTGTGAGCGTGTCTAGCATGTGGATGCAATGATATTGAGCAGGAAAAGAGCCATAGTATTAATTATTATTTTCATGGTTGCTAATGGAAAAGTGGTTTGCTTAAGGGGACCAGGTCAGAGTCAGATTGAGGTCATCACACTAGCTGTCCCGCCTGTGGTTATTTTCTAACTAGCTTCCCTATCTCCTCCGTAGCTACAATGCAAGGTGTAGCTAGAGGCCACGGTGCATTTCCATTAGGAAAAGAGAGCTTCTGAGGCCTCTGGTAGCCTGAGAGTAGCCAGAAGCATATTTAGTAACACATAGAAAGGGAGTTGGTAAGGCCCAGAATTTCTGCATCAGCTTCTATAGGGACCTGGGGTTGATTTAGTTTTGGTGGGGCAAGAGTGGGTTGAGGACAAAGGTCATAGCCATAGAACAATTCACCAAGAACTCACCTGGAATCACAGACCCTGAGAATGAGTAGCCTGAGAGATGGCATAAATAAAATACTGTAAGTTCTAGACATCATGTGCTAGCTTAGATCCATTTTCATCAAGATGTTTTCTATAAAATAGAAATAGTCATGAAGCAAGATTCTATGGTTATGTAAGTCTGGGAAAGGATACACTCCTTGGAATTTCACAGGGAATTAGTTCTTGGAGGCTCCTAAAAATTCTGCAGTGATGAAGAATGTTATTATTTTAGGCTTTGTGGACCATACAGCCTCTATCACAAATCCTCAGTTCTGTTCTTACAGTGTGACAGCGAGCAGCCATAGACAATCTGCATTGCTCTCTATAATACAACTGCACTTCCGGAAGCGGGTGATAGGCCAGGGTTTGGCAGATGAATGCAGTTCGCTGGCTGCGATCTACACCATCAGCTATGCTAAAGCATTTTCCTCCATCATCTCTCTACTCATCGCCGGAGATGTTTGGCACTAATGCACAGTAGCTCTCCCCCAAAGGTGCAACGTTGCAGTTTGCCTTTGAGAGGAATCTGACTCTGTCAGGAAGCACAGGCCGAATGGCTCAATCCATTGTGGATCAACATGAAGAAAGAAAAGTCACAGATATGGGGTACTCTGCAAAAAGAGATGGGAAGTCACCCAGTCACCCAGGAAGGTCACCCGGGGGGGGGGGGCTTTCTTCAGATATGTATACTCACAGCTCTCTAGCTGCAACTTGCAGGTCTGTGTGTCCATGGGGTATTTAGACAGATCCATGTTGCATGTAACAGTTGTTGTGATTCTAAAAAGAAAAAAAAAAAAAAAAAGAACAAAGAAACAAACAGGATATGAAAGAGGGCTGTGAGAAAGAGATACTGAGTTCACGTTTCTTCAGAGGGCCGCTCCAAGAGGACTTTTTCTCAGACTCTTACAGGGACCTGTGGCTTGGAGCATGCATCCAAGCATTCCTGAGGGTTTTTTTTTTTTTTTTTTTTTTTTTTTTTTTTCTGTGCTCAACAACACTCATCAGAGCCAGTTAAAACTGGATCCAGAGTGGAAGAAACTGGAATGCCGGCAGCTCAGATGTAAAACATCCACAATATTACAGAACAGACTCATTCTCCAGCGTGTTGAAGACATTTTTAAAATATATGTTTTTCACTTTAGTCAATCAAGGACATTGGGTGCCTGGAACTGGAGTTAGGAATGGTTGTGAGGGTGCTGAGAATTTGTCTGCCAGAGAGACAAGTTCTCTCAAGGGCTGAGCCGTCTCTCCCACTCTGGAGATGCTCTAAAAAAATTCTAATTACATTTTTTTTCATACAATTTAATTTGATCATATTCTTTCCCTTTCCCTACCTACTCCCAGATGCCGCTCACTTCCTACCTACCCAACCTGACAGTCTTTCTTTCTCTTAAACAAACACCCAAACCCCAAACCAAAATGACAACAGCAAAGCACACAGAAAAAGCAAAATGAAATAAACCACCACAGAACCTGTCTCCTATGGGTCAATTACTCCTGAGCATGAGGCCTGCTCTGGAGTATGGTTTACTCCAGTGTCACTTCATTGGAGACAGTGAATCTTTCCCTCTCTCGTCAGCTATCAATTACAGATAGCTTTATGGTTATCAGTGGGACTTTTGCCCCCTTCTCTTCCTGGGGATGCTTTTGCACTTTGGTTTTCAGTGTGATCTTCATGACAACCCCTTGTAGTGCTGGAACAGTGATCACTGGACTGGCTTAAGCTCACAAGGCTCTGAGTGGTGAAGCCCGAACAAGAGTCTTGGTCTCCTGTCTCCTTGATGGCATCAGGATGGAGAGAACCCAGGGGACACACAGCTCATGGCTGTTGGGTTCACCTAAGGGTGCTCAACTAAAATAAACATCAGTGAGGTCCTCATAGTGGAGAGCTTAAAAGTCAGGCCATTGTATTCCTTTTTAAAATTCATACATTTTTACCAGGTCCCCAATTTATTATGTACAGTGCTGGGTACTCTAGTGGGCAGCTGTGTTCATGGCACAGTATCCAACTTGATGGCCCTTCACATCCCCATAAGGGAGATAGACAAACACAACAGTTCTTTGCTTATTGCTTACTGCAAGCCAGTTTCTGTGCAGAGGACGTCACCTGCACTAACCCTCTGAATAGCCTATGATCTGAGAACTGCTACCATTTTTATTTTGTTGTCTAGGAACCTGAGGCTCAGAGGGTCTAGTAACTCGCCTAAGTTCACAGAGCTATTTAGGACAAGATTCTAGTGGCGAGTTGCCCAACAACTGTGATCCACTACTAATTCTCACCCGGGCTGATTGTGGTATACGCTGTAACGCAGAGTAGGTACACAACACACATACCACAGGCACACAGTGTATATGCACACACCTATTGTGCAAACAAATTCCCATGGAAGCTTGGGAAAACGTGGACTGAGAAACAAAGGACTGTTAGGTTTCCTGAAAGAGGATTTGGGGTTTGGGCTGGTCTCTGTAAAACCCAGTGTTGCTGAGGCATGCCTAGAAATGCTACTGATCAGAAATGCTGCTCAGTCCTTGCTCTATAACTTTAGGTTCTTCTTGTGATTAAAGGTTAGTCCGTTCATATTTCCTACTTGATCTGCTCCCCAAGGACTCAGGGAGTCCAAGTGTGTATAGCCCTTGCAAGAAATAATTTGTGTAGGCTGCCTTATGCAACACTGAGGGAGCCTCTTTCCTGTTCCCACCATTGAGAGGAAGCCATGAGATGGAGGAAACTTTAGGCCCTGGCAATTTGGGGAGGTGGCCTGTGGCTGCAAGTAGGTAGGGTCTTTGGGACACACGCCTGGCTTCTTTGTTCAAACGTGTCTCAAACATGCAGAGGCACACTGTAGAGATTCCCGGCCACACTGAACCCCACGAAAGACAAATTGCTTACATAGACTTCTCTGTTTGCTCATGTCTTTTTCCTTCCTGGTCCTCCTTCCTTCTCCCTCCCCTCCTTCCTCCTCCTTCCTCATTCGGTGTGTGTTTGGTGTGTGTTTGTGTGCATGTCAGGTGTACCTGCTCACGTGGGTTCCTGGCATTGGGATTTGTTCTTCGATTACTTTTCCACCTTATTTATTTATGTCTATATTTGTTTGTGTCTGTGGATGCACAAGCGTGAGCATGTGCGGGCACCTGCCTGTGAGTATGTACATGGGGCAAGAGATGGAATATCTTTCTCAATCACTCCCTATATATTAAGTCAGGGTAAGTCGTAGTAAACCTGGATCCCACGGATTTAGGTAGTTTAGCCAGACATCTTTCTCTAGAGATCTTGTCTCTGTCTTCCGAAGGCTGAGTGTACCGCTGGGCTGTCATGTCCACCCTGCATTTGCGTGAACGGTAGGACTTAGAACTCTAATCCACACCTGGGTTGCAATCATTTTATTCAGGAAGCCATCCAGTCCACACCCTTTTGAGACTGGGTCTCTCATTGAACCTGGAGCTTGCAGCTTAAGGCTAGACTTAAGGCTAGATCTATCCACCTGTCTCTCTACTCCTCAGCACTGCAGTTTAGATTCATGCCAGCTTTTACACGGCCTTTGGTACTCTGAACTCAGGTCCTCATGCTTTCTCTCTAGCCTCCTTTCCTCTTTTTCTGCTAGCTTTCCTCACTCTGAAAGGCTCAGCTCACAATCCTCTGAAAGCATATTTTGACATTACCCCTAACATTACTTGGGTCCTGGCACCCACTACTTCCTTTGTTTACATGGCTGTGCTCTCAGGGGCGGGGCCTGTCTTACTTAGCTCTCCCTTAGTATCCTGCAAGGGCCTGCCTGGCACCCAGCATCTGCCCCAAAGGTGCTTCTGTAGCCAGGCTATACTGAGAGAAGTCCTTCTGAATGGCCCTGGGGTATAAAATAGGGGAACTAGGCTGGGCATGGTGGTACACACTTTTAATCCCAGTACTCGGGAGGCAGAGGCAGGCAGATCTCTCTGAGTTCAAGACCAGCCTGGTGTATAAAGCGAGCCTAGACAGAGAAACCCTGTCTCAAAAAGCCAAAACAAACAAGCACCACCCCCAATCCTCCCAAAACAACAACAAGAACATCCCAAAGAAACAAACAAAACAGAAGAGAGGAAGTTGTGAGGTATGGGGGCTCAGACTGGCCACTTCGGTTCTGGTCGGAAGTACCCAGGATGTATGCATCTTTCTTAAATGTGTCTTTTCCTCCAATCCTAGTCTCCCAGATAGGCCTGCTCACCTGAGCGCATACAGGACTGTGCCATTGGAGAAGAGGCGGATGAGCCTGTTTCCCACCGTGACTTCATGGAGGAAGGACTTCTTGGACTCCACAATGTAAGTGTCTGGTACCCAGAGGAACTCCACGAGCCGGGCATCTAGAGTGAAACTCTTGTTGCCTTCGAACACCAGCCGGGGATCTGTCCAGTGCTGCCGGAGGTATATAGTGGCCGTGTAGTCCTAGGGGGGAAAGCCGTTGATGGAAATGATGGGTGTGGGTAGGGGGACCCCCAAAAAACAGAAGGAAAGGAGTCAAGTTGGTGTGATACTTATGTGCAGCAATGGAAGAACAAAGTTCATTATTTAATTTAGAAAACTCCAACTGTCAAGGCTCACTTTCAGGGTCTTGACCTACTTGGCATAACAGCTCACACTGCCTGAGAATACAGTTGATGGGGGTTTTGGTGGCCAGGGTTGCCTAGAATTTACCCATCATGCCTCACGGGCTCCCTTGGTAAATTGCCTTTCTCCTGGCTTTGTCTTTCCTGTGTCCTCTCAAGTTGGTCATTAGATTGCTAATTTTCATTGGCTGTCACCTTTTCTGAATGACCATGTGAAGTCCAGGTTTCTGTCTGTACCATGTTTTTATTCTTTTCCTCTATCTATCTATCTATCTATCTATCTATCTATCTATCTATCTATCTACATTCTTTATATAGTTCCTCTCTCTCTCTCTCTCTATATATATATATATTGACTTTTATAGACTTATATATATATATATATATTGACTTTTATAGAATTACATATATTGGCTTTTATAGAATTCATGCACATGTACACAGCTTAGGAAGATCCAGCCAGACCCAGTGACACAGCCTATAATCTGTTACTCTAGCTACTGGGAAGATTGGGATAAGAAGTTCACAAGTTCAAGGCCTGCCTGGCTATAGAGTGAGTTCAAGGCCAACTTGGGCCACTTAGTAATTCCTTATTTCAATATATAGTTTGGTGAGGTACGTGAAACAAGGGTTCCACTCAAGTACTGAAACAAGATAATGTGAAGGAAGTGGCTCTAGTCTTCTCCCCCACCACCAAAACACTCCCAGCTTCTTGATATACTCCATATATATATATTCCATATATATATTGGCTTTTCGAGACAGCGATTTTCCATGTGGCTCTGGCTGTCCTAAAACCCTCTCTGTAGACCAGGCTGGCCTCAGATACACAGAGATTCCCCCCGGCTCTGCCTCCCCAGTGCTGGGATTAAAGGTGTGTGCCTCCCCCACCTGGCCTCTTTTCTTCAATTTTTATTCCTCAGTAAATGTAAACTTCCCTTTCTATTTTCTCTTCCTGGCCTTTGAGTCTGTTTCACTCCTGGCACCTAGAAGACCTAGTGTACAAACGTCCTCTCCTATCTTTTTTTAGGAGGCAGGACTCAGGCATCTGCGTTCTGTTTCTGAGTTACTTGAGAGGACATCATCATTGGAAGCAAGGAGAGGGAGTGGGGGTGGGGGGGGGCAGCCACTGGGTAACAGTTACCATGTTACTCTCTGAGATGCTAGAGATGCTTGCTATGTCCAGCGTCAGTGCTATCCGAACTGGGTCACCTGAGAATGGAGAAGAACCAGAAAGACTTACATAGAAACACAAACACAGGGTCTCCTTCCAATCACCGCTTCCATCCCCTGCCCCACTGCAGACTCCATAGCCAGTGTTTCTGCATTAGTGGGTTGGAAACAAAAAGCTATTAAAAATTATAAAAGCAATATACACGTATTAGAAATATTTAAATAATCTGAGCTATAAAAATATGAGAATTAATTTTATCTTCCCAGGAGCAACCATTTGGTATGAAAAATATACGCAGATACATAGGGACATCATGATTCATAAGAGAGGTCGCACCATTATTAACTAAAGGGTATTTAAAAAACATTTTAAGATTAATTTACTTATTTTGGGGGGAGAGAGGGGAGGGAAATGAATGTGTGCCACACACTAGTGGAATTGGTGGTCCTCACCTCTACTTTGCTTTAAGGCAGGGTCTCTCCCGTTATTTTGGTGCCGCACAGCTACCTTGAAGTTACCGGGTCTGAGAGCTCTGAAAGCTCTCCTATCTCCACTGCCAGCTTCGCCACAGGAGTTCTGGGTTACAGATGTGTGTCTCTATATCCAGCCTTTACACTCATTCAGGGAATGGACCTCAGGCAGTCAGCTGTTCAGGAAGCACTTTCACTTGCTGAGCCCTCTCCCTGGCCATTAGTTTGTATTTTAAAGAGGCTAGTGGTAAGGTATCTGCTCCTTATGTGGGCTTTTGCTGTGGTGCCTGGAGGGGGGGGGTGGGGTGGGGTGGGGTGTGGGTTGGAGCATAATTGTGTAGAGTGGGACAGATTTGTTCATGTGATTGTACACAGACGACTCCTTTCCTTCCGTTAAGGAAGTTTACCGTAAGATGGCACTGAAGACTGATCAAAGCCGAGCACCTGCTGGCCCTGCCCACCTTCCTCCTTTGCTCTTAGGAGCCCTAAGCTTTAAAATGCCACAACTGTGTCGCCATGGTTGGTCCTGTGCATGGTCCTGGAGTCTAGGGAGATTGAAAGACTCCACTCAGGACTCTTTTTATTTTGGAGACTGGAGCACAGTCTCAGAAGCCAACCAGGCAGGCCAGGCCCATTTCTTCTCTTTAGATGGGAGGTATGGAAGAAGGACCCAGGAGTGCGAACCATGTGAATTCAGATCTCAGCTCTGAAATCGTCCAGTTCTGCTGTCAGGGATAAATTATTGAAGTTTCTAGAACTGTAGTTTTTTGACCTGCAAGAGGGTGATGAAGGGATTTCAATGACATTACTGGTGTGACAGTGTCTTAGCCAGTGACAGCAAGGCAAAGTACATGCAAAGTGCCCGCCCATTCCTTCCAGGAATCTCAGAAATGGTCCCCTTCATACAGCTCTGGCATCATACCTTCCATGCTTTGACACAGCCCCACCATCAGTGTCCTCCATTCCTTCCCACTGTCTTCTGTAATTCCAGAAGTTGGGAAGACACAACTTGGCTAACCAGGTTAATGGATACAACAGCTCTCACTTACATTAAGTAGCTAAGACAGCCCCCAGGGGACTGTGGCAATGAACCAGGAAGAAAAGAGGTGGGATTGTGAGGAAACCAGAAAAAACACCTAATCATCTAATTGGTCAGAATTAGCCAAAGCAACCTAATAATTAAAGGATTAGTAATCCAGGAAAACCACGCCATAGAATGTAGGCCGGAATTTGGAAATGGGGTTATAGAGCCAATGCAGTTGAAAGATAAGTGTTAATGGTTAATGAGAAAAGGGAAATGTTTGAGGGTGGAGCTGGAAGGGCGTGGTGCTAGGTGGCTTTCTGTCATTCAACACAGCAAAGCACAGCATGAAGAGTGAACTCAGAGAGAGTTCTGTGTTGTTTCCCTGTGTGGTAAATGATATGTAACCCACTGTTACAATCCCCATTGTTCTTCCACTCCCAAAACTCATGTGGAAATTTAGTTGATGTAGCTGTATTAAGAGGTGGAAGCACTAAGATGTGATTGGGCCGTGAGGGTTCCAGCCTCATGAGTAGAGCTGGTGCTATATGGAAAGGGCAAGCTCAGCCCTCCCTTGTCTTCTTCAGCCCTCACACCTTCTACCACACGATGGTGACAGGGCCATTGCCAAATGCCAGCATTTAATACTGAACTACAAGCCCATGAATTTGGGTTTATTATAAACTACCCAGATCCAGGCATTATGTTATAGCTGAACAAAACAGGCTAAGACAAGAGCCCATCAGAGTACTAAGCTGGAAAGCATGAAAAACAGTGGGTCCCCTTGGACTCCTCTGAAGACCACACAGTGGAAAGCACACAGGGGTTGAGTCCCACTGTGTTTTATGGCTTAGTTTCCACCTACACGGTCTAGTCCAGGCCTGGTCACCATTGGCTGTTTCATGGATCACCAGCTTGCTTTTCTGTCCCCTGAAATTATACAAGTAAGCTGTGCCACCAGAGGGCACCTTTTTCCCAGGGAAAAGGTGAAAGTCAACTGCTGGGCAGTGCGTGTTGTGCTCATTTGATGACCTTTGCTTTACCCAGCTTAGTCCCTGGAAAATACGATGGAGGCTCTGTCTTTCAAGGGCTTTGGTGGCCAAGAAGCTGGATGTAAAAATACCACAAGGAAGCAAGGATGCATCCATGGGCGTAGAGGGTGCCCAGCAAGACAGGTTCCTTTGGGAGATGGAGTGCACAAAGTCACTGGGCATGGCATTGTGCTTTCTCTCCTTTTAAGTGAGGTGCCTCTGCCTATTTACCTCAGGTAGAACTGGGCCTCATATTCCCTTAAGCCCACCCTAGGAGCCCTGTTTTCAGAACAACCTCCTTGCCCAACATCCATTCCTCTGGTTGGCCTGTTATTGTGCAAACATGAAGAATATTGTACTGGCTTAGCTGTTTGTGGTTTGGGAGGCAAGAGAAATTGATCTAAGCAAGCTCTTTAGATTCATGTGCTTGTTGCTAGCATGCAGGAGGGTGTGGGAATCCAGGGCGGGTGGTGGCTCTCTAAGTCCTTGACATAAAGAACTCAGATCCTGACTGTGGGGCTAGACATTGTCCAGATCTCCAGCTGAGCTGAGGTGAGATCGCCGGAGGTTCCCAGTGGCTGCACAGAGGAATCTGCCAGCAACCTTGCCCTAAGGCCGTGCAGGTAAGTGGTAGTATGGACCTCAGCCACCCAAAAATCTGCATAGGACAGCACACTGAGGCAGGGGTGATCCCGGATGCCCAGAGGCAGAGACTCCTCTGCTGGGGAGCTTTACTCAGGAACTTCCTTGTGGCCTTCCCAAACAGTACTTCCCATCAGTACTCCTCTCCAAGACACCTCTACCCAGACTTCCTTGCCCCTCTCGCTTCTCACCTTAAAGCCCAAGAGCCTTCTACCTCCTCTACCCTTACTCTTTACAGACCAACACACATCTTGATGAGGCAATGGCCTCCTCATCTGACTACCAGTGGACTTGGATTGACACGCTGTCCTAGATCTGACTAGAAACTGTCACCATCAGAAGAGAGAAGAAGGGGAAAAGGGACATAAAGCTAGGTACAGTATAACAGGGGAACCATGTGACTCAGAGCTGTGTTCAAAGCAAGGGGATGGGCTGTGGAGGAATCAAAAAGAGCCTTTCAGAGGACGGTAACCTTGTCGCCAAGACATGATGGAAAACTGTCATGTTTCTAGGGAGGCAAGTTGGAAGAGTGACCCAAGGCAGATGAGCAGCCTATGCAGACACAGAAGCCAGGAGGCTCGGGACGCTTGGTGGGGGTGTGTGTGCCTGGGGCCATAATGCAGAATATTGCTGGAAGATGAGAACGACAGGCAGACAGGGGCTGGACTGAGAAGAGCCTGGGATGCCTGGACTTCAGGCTAGGCTGCTGGGGCACAGGCTTATGTTCTGAGCAGGCGAATGACCCCAGAGGAGATCCACGTGGAAATGATGGGAGAGGATTATTCATGGCAGGTTACAGGCAGGAAGGCCAGGTGGAGGAATGCTGGCGGAACATGGTGTGTTCCTGGAACAGGGACCCATAGAAGTGAGGGAGAAGGAAGAGAGGGCCGCATGTTGCCAGAGGCTCCCTGCACCCACCACAGTGGTGGAGACGAAAACCTTTAAGTCAAGAGGTAAAGTACTTTCTTTAAGGGAGCAGGAGAAATCCCAGGCGTGCATCCTTATCCATTCTTCCCAAGCCTTAAAACAGGTTTGGAGCAGGGTGGAGTCAGTAAAGCCTGCTGAAGCCCTCTGCTGCCTTTTATCTCTATGCCTGCCCTTTTGAACTGATGTCCTGATCAGAAAGGATAACCTACCACCAAAATTGGGCCTGAGAAATTTGTTATATCCTGCAGTGAGGTTCTCAAAGCCAGGCAAGGAAAGCTTGTCACTTCGGCTGACCTCCACATTGAACTGGTTCCCCTGGATGCACAACCTGGAAAAGAGAGTGACCTTTGTTGCCTATATTGTTCAAATATTGATAAACATAGATAGACGTGAACTTGACTAACCTTCCCCTTATGTGTGCATGTGTGTGCCTATGCGTGTGTGTGTGTGTGTGTGTGTGTGTGTGTTCACATGGTGGCTTTTCTAATGAGAAATTTCTTACTTTCTGGCTAGTGAGTTAGTATTTCTCTTTCTTTGTTTCTTTCTTTCTGTTAGTGAGCTAGCATTTCTCTTCCTTCCTTCCTTCCTTCTTTCCTTCCTTCCTTCCTTTTTTCTTTCCCTCCCTTCCTTCCTTCCTTCCTTCCTTCCTTCCTTCCTTCCTTCTTTTTTTCTTTGTTTTGAAACAGGGTTTCTCCGTGTGTGGCCCTAGCTTTCCTGGAACTCTATCTGTAGACCTGGCTGGTCTCAAACTCACAGAGATTCACCTGTATCTGCCTCCCAAGTGCTAGGATCAAACATATGTGCCATCACCACTCGGTTCATTTCCGTTTTCTTATCCACATTTTCTATGGAGAAAATTGTCATGATAACTTGGGAACCCTTCAAGTAGCTTTTCTTTTGATTGACTGATTAGTTGGTTGGTTGTGTGTGTGTGTGTGCATGTGAGCACAGGCATGTGTACCTGAACATGCAGACAGATGCCTTTTTCTATTTCTCTTTACTGATTCCTTTGAGGAAGGGTCTTTCCCTGAACCTGAGGCTCAAGCTTTCTCAGTTAGGCTGTAAGGCAGAACCTCCCAGAGATCCTATTTCTTCTCCGCTTGGCAGCTCCAAAATTCACTGGCATTTGTGGGATGCCAGTCTTGATATATGGATATCAGAATCTGGACTGTGGTCCTCATGATTGCACAGGAAGCACACTTAACCACTGAGCCCTCTTCCCAGCTTCCTTTCACCAAGTGTCTTATGAAAACACACAAGTCCATCAGTGTGTGAGAATTTTAGAAACTTACTCTCTAGAACAGAGTGAATCACAGACATTTCATTGTTGTGGTGTTTCAGGGAAATGAAGGGACTAGGTTTTGGCTTTCGGTAAGTTCAGTGGGAAATGCCTGCAAGCCATTCCATCAGGTAGCCACACCAGGGCAGTTTGCACTGAGCCGTTTTGGGGTAGCACCGCTCACCTTTGAGTGAGGAGACTCAGACACACAAAGGCCAAGTAGAGGCTGCAGCTCATGTTGAAGGAGCTAATTCACACACAGAGAGGAGGAATCACCTGGGGAGACAGATGGGGTAAGGTGAGGGGACAGTCCAAAGGTTCACTGCCCTCCAGCCCACGGGTTGCCAGGCACAGTATTCTCCCAACATGCAGTGGGAACAGCCTCTTTGCACACTTTTTAGGCTAGCACCTGCTTCCTGGGCATCATCCAGGTCCATGGTCATTTGGGAGGCTAATATCTTTAACCCACCCCAGCTATCGGTGGAGTTTAAACAGTGGTTCTCTGAGAACAGCACTCATAGCCATTCTGGGGTGCATATTTGTCTGTAGATTTGAGGAGTCCCACACTGTCCTTACTGTGTTCTTGTCCAGCGCTGCATTCATACCAACTAAACCAGATACCTGACCTATTTAATCCAGGGTCCCAGGCCTTCCAGGAAGGTTGTGTTCTTACTTAATCTTCCCCATGCATAGTGGGCAGGCTTATCCCTGTCTCATAGTGAGGAAACAGGTTTGTGGAAAGGACACCACACCAGTGAAAGCCATAGGCGAGTTTGGCTCTGGAACTGGCTGCCTTGTCCCTTTCCTGCAGGTCCAGCAACAGCCTAGGCTTTCCTTGGCCTGAAGATCCTCATCTTCCCCATAACCTCTCACACCCAACAGACGGAGCTCTGAAGCCATTCAGCTGCTGTGATCCAGAGTGCAGCTGAACAGCACGCTCCAGAGGCCTGGCTTCCTCGGGTGTGGGATCTGCAGCCAAACAACCCTCAGAGAGCAGGAGCTGCTGGCAGGGCAGCCTCAGGACCTGCTCTGCTGGTGACATGGCAGGCCGTTGGCCTCAAGTTCAGGCCCCTTCCCAGGTAGCCCACTGTGGGCACCTACTTCTCTGTGCTAACCCTGGCGAGTCTTCCCGCTTTCTAGAATCGAAGTGATCTAGCTCTTTGGGCCAGGTTTGGCAATTTATTTATTAAAGTGTGCTGCTCATGAAGCCAATATCTGCTCATCACAGACATGAAAATGCACTGTTCATAAGTCAGAAGTGCCCAGCACGTGCCAGTGCAAATCTATAGTTTTATGAGGTTTATTCTTATTTCACGTGTGTTTATGCACAATGAGCATCTATGCACCACATGCATGCATCACCCACAGAGGCAAGAAAAGCGCCTAGAATCGTCTTGGAACCGACAGCTGTTAGCTGCACGTGGTTGTTGGGAATCACACCCAGGTTCTCTGGAAGAGCAGTCAGTGCTCTTAACCACTGAGCCATCTCTCTAGCCCCCCAGTGTGGATTTGCAGATGGGAACAGGCATGTCCTTCTGGTACAAGATACTGAGAGTTGGGCAGTAGTAAGTCCGTGGGGCTCCATATTAGTGTAATCCTAAAATTTCTTTAAAAAAATAAAGTTGATTTAAAAAGACGTGTTTCACAAAAAGGTGTTTAGACCCTCTGTCATTTCTTCTCATTAGCCTCATACCTCAGGTGCTTCCATTGTTAACAATTGTTTTAACACCCACGTAGTCTATATCTACAAATACACAGATTTCTACATAAAAAAAATTAAAAAGGGCAGAGCATGGTGGCTCACACCTTTAATCCCAGCACTTGGGGAAGCAGATCCCTGTGAGTTTGAGACCTGGTCTACAAAGCGAGTTCAGGACAGCCAAGGCTACAGTAAGTGTAATAGCTGCTCTTTATTGGATGCTTTACCTTCACTCGCCTGAGCGAAGCATTTCTACAGTCTCCACAGATCTTTGAAATAATTAAGACTATTCTCACTTTCAAAGGAGAGCACTGAGGATCTGAGGAGAGGCGACATTCTGAGGGTTACACAGCAAGTAAGGGGGCAGCTTGAATGTAACTAGCTGGTCTGAATCCTTCCCTTAACCCTGAAACTGTCTTCCACGCCTTTCAGCCGTGCTTTTCTCTGTCAGCCGTAGCTCTGCCTCCTTAGGCCTTACTTAAGACAGCAAGGTAGCTCATACCATGAATGTTCAACATTTGTATGCCACGTGTCCTATTTATGAAGTTATCACTGGCCATCTTGGCATGTACTCTAGCCTGCTTCTTTTCACAGTGAAGCAGCGCTGGCTCCTAAAGGCTGATAAAGAAATGGAGGTTTGCCACAGCCGCTGGAGCTCATTCACTCATCAAAAATATCAGCTATAAAACCAATATTCATACTTTCTCCTTTTAGTGCTTCTCCCTGGTCCCTATTCCTCTTCATGCCCCCAAGCATAAAATTTAAGAGGGTCCTTGGAATGGCTTGTACACCCTCCATCTCTTTAACAGTTTAAAGATTGAATGAGCTCCTCCTATAAGCCAGACAAATGACCAGCAGAGGTCCTGCTTGCTGGGGGCAGAGATGTGTGAGCAGAAAGGTACATGTTCCATCAGAAGCATGCAAGCCATAAGTCATATGCCCTGTCACCACCTAGGGGCCCAGGCAGCAGATGTCTGGGTAATGAGCCACCAACTCCCCTCAAGAGGATGATACAGGGCCAGGGTGGGGATTGCAGAGATGTTCTTTTGTTTCTGGAAGACTGTGCTGTATTGGCTGGACGTAGGAGGCCAGGGCCACCAGAATCTGGTAAAGAAATGGAGGACTTGCCTATGGCCCCTGGAAACTACTCAGACTCGGCCTTTTCCCCAAGCCCTTAGTATCTGCAAGTTTTCCCCAGTGTACCCTGAACTGTCTCTGTTCCTATTTAGGGAGATACCTTAATTATTCCACCATCTATAAGAAACTACCTTTGATCAAATACATTTGAGGCACCCTTTAGTCTTTATCGTCAAGCTTGCTCTGAAATCGGGATTACCTGGAGACCAGTCTATATTAGAAAAACCATATTCATAACATGGGCCTCCGAATCCCCCCCCCCCCCCAAGGACTCCCAGGCTATGTAGTGTGGCTGTGTTCTGACTGCTGGCTTTGCTAGGGCCTGAGCATGCCTCAGTGCAGAATGAAGAGCAGCGGGGAAGCCCGGATGCCACACCTATCACTCAGCCACTTAGTTAACTTGGCTATCTGGTTCAGGAGAGGAACCTCAGATTTGTGATGGACTTACCTCAGATCCCCTAGCAATTAAGCGGCCACTGTCAGAGCCAGCGTTTCCCGAGTCCTTGCTCTGTACTTGGCACACCTGGTGCCACTTTACTTGGGGAGGGCTCACACAGCTAACATCTTTCCTCACTCCAGCCTGGCATAGAGAACTCAGAACACATTGAAAGTAACTGAGCAGAAGAGAACAAAGCTAGAGGAGTTAGAAGGAGGCTAGACTGTGGCATGCCTGGGCACACTTTATGAAGAAGAAGGTCCCCAGATCCTGAGGCTGAATGTGCAGAGGGAGACACCAGCCCATGTGGCTGGCCAGCCAATTTTCAAGTCACTATTTTACTGGTCTTGGAAACTCAGGCCTCCCTCTTGGATATACACACTGGAGCCAGCGCTTAGTGGTGATCATAGACCGCTAGAGGGTAGCTGGAGATTCTGACTTGTGAACCCTCCAGCCTTCAGCAGTTGCACACAAGAAGTGGATGGAAATTTCTTGAGTAATGGCAGCCTATTCATTTTTGCATTAGCTGGACCTCTTTGGCTCATCTCTTTATATAGAAGAGCGTCTAGGCTTTGGAGCTAGACCAACCTGAAACATAGTGAACCTCTCAGGCTCAGTTTTCCCACCTGACAAACGGGAATAAACACAAACAATAAGTATCATGCATTTCCCTCTATGTTCTGTGTCTTCCATTGAGGGGTTAGTAATCTCACTAGGACAAAAACATACCAAGATGAAGCTCTTCCTCCCATATCTGGTTGGCACCACTCACAAAGAACAGGTCAGACTCAGGACATGAGTGTCACCTGGGAGGCCAGGGGCATTTGTTTTTTTCTAGACTGGCTCTGAGAAGCAGAGGCGATTCTGATGGGGATTCCCACCTCCACTTCATCACAGAAACACAGTGAGGCCGGAGTGTCACACCCTAGCTGCCTCCACACTCTCGCTGTTTCCTCACCCTCAGTCACTTCGGTGTGTTCAGAGTCATGCATGGGGAAGCAGGCGTGGGTTGAGGAAAGGTCTTACTGGCCTGGGTCCTCCCCAAGAAAATCATGGAGGTGTGCCTTGCGCCCGTTGGTCTAGTCTGGCAGCAGCGAGGCAAACAGTGACAGCTCGAGGGTGGGGCAGGGGGCTCTGGTCTGGGCCCCTTTCTTGTTCTTGGATGGTTTTAGTCTTCCTTGATGCTTACTTTCCTGCACTTTAACAGGAGGTACTGCTCTACACTCTGAGACCCACCCGAGGCAGAATTAGAGCTCGGCACACTCCGGGCCTGCCTCCCTTCCCTCCCACCCACCCCAGCAGAGCTCACCCAGCAGAGCTTACCAGGCAGCTGTTGAGGCTCTGTTATGGCAGGTACTTTGGGCCACCAGGCAGCACTCTCATGCAAGGCATACTCTTTTGGGTCCCCAGGGTCCTTTCCATCTCAGCCCTGATCACTTGGATGTAGGTATACATCCACTCGCTGATGGAGTGGCTCTCTCTTTGGAGAAGGCAGAGCAGCTGAACCAGGTATAGGTGGGCGGGTCTTCTCCAGCTCCTCCCTTCCTGAAACTCTGACTGGTCCTGGGTTGTTTGTGAGAATCAGCCAGCCCTTGCTATGGCTACTGGATACCGGAGGCGTGGTTCTGGGTTCATGGTTCAGCCATGCTCCCAAACCTCAGCCAAAAAAGACTTCTGCCATCCAAGGTGCCTTGAGAGTTCAGTAGGTGGCCCCAACCACTATGATAAGCTCTGCTTTCAGAGGACATCCCCCCAACACAGGGCCAATGAATGACAGTTGAGTTATGATCTTGGGCTTTTCACTCAGTTTTAATCATCACATTCACATCCACAAAACAACTTCGTTCTGTTCTGAGAGCCTCAGTCCTGGCTTTGCCTCGACTGAGTTGGGAAAAACAGAGTCAGCTCAGTGTTAATAGAGACTATCTGAACTGTCCAGTTACAGAGACATAAAAAATCCAAAGGATTGAAAAAGCAGAGCTCAGAAGAGGTGGGGGATGAT